TTGCGTTTGCTAGAATGAAGGACTGTAAACCACACATAGACAACATTAATATAACACGTATTTTCTCTGTAACCTCTGGTAAACCTCTATGTTGGGATGGTAAACACTGAAAATGCACATTTCTCAGTCTGCACTGAGCAATCCAGGTTATCTCTGGGGGTGAAAGTGGAGGTGAGGGTGAAAAGGCTGTGCTGAATGGCAAAGAGGCCTTACTCCTCTTTATATACTCTTATAATCAGCTCAATTTCCAAAACAGTCTTTTGGCATCTCAAAGCAAATTTTACCAATTCTGCAAGTTCTCATTTTTCTGTAGCTTACCCTTCCAAGTATCCAGCTTTAAACATAGCCTTAGCTTTAGCTGCTAGTGTCTGATTCACATTATTGGCAGAGCATCCCTAATCTGAAAATCTGAAATCCAAAATCTGAATCTTTTTGATCACTTGATATGAGCCATAAATAGAAAATTGCAAACCATGAAACTTTGTTTAATGCAAAAAAAATTTTAAATATTGTAAAAAATTACCTTAAGGCCATGTGTATAAAAGGTGTATATGAAACATAAATGAATTCTGTGTTTGGATTTGTGGTCCGTCTCCAAAATATCTCATTATGTGTGTTCAAATATTCCCAAATCCAAAACACTTTGATTCCAAGCACTTCAGATAAGGGATAGTCAACCTGTATCAACTTACATAGATGAATTGTAATATTCTTTTTTTCTTTTTTGTTGCGGGAGGGATACCAAGGATTGAACTCAGAGGTGTTTAACCATGAAGCCCCTCCCTAGCCCTTTTTATATTTTTTTATTTTGAGACAGGGTCTCGCTAAGTTACTTGGGACTAGCCTTGAACTTGTGATCCACCTGCCTCAGCCTCCCAAGTTACTGGGATTACTGGTGTGCGACACCACATCGGCGAAGTTAAAGCCCATTTTTACAACACAGCCAGTGTTCTTAGTTGGCTGATGTTCTAGAAATCCTTGTGAAGAGTCACTTTGTAAGGCTTTCCTAATAAGAACTCTGATTGTATCTTCTGGGCTTTGCTCTCCCTCCCCGCTTCCTGGTTTGCAGCCATGGGAGTTTCGGAAAGAACAAGACCCATGGGTAGGAGCTGAGGTGTAATATACTACGGCTTCCTCTTGGCATCTCTCCTAATCTTCTAGCCACACTCGCTTGTCTTGTTACACTAGGTGATGTTGGAAGAGTGGCAGAAGAATTTTTACTCTCTGTTTCTAAAACCTGAGGCTTTGTATATGCACAGTAAAACTTATAAAGTATACTAATACCTTAATCCCAGCGGCTCAGGAGGCTGAGGCAGGAGGATTGAGAGTTCAAAGCTAGCCTCTGCAATTCAGTGAGGCCCTAAGCACCTCAGTGAGACCCTGTCTCTAGATAAAATACTAGATGTGACTAGTATTTTATCTAGAGACAGGGGATGTGACTGAGGGGTTACAGTCCCCTGGGTTCAATCCCTGGCACAAAAAATCAAAAATAAATAAATAAAATATGCCAATTTTAAGAGAGAGCTTTACCAAGTACAGTAGCACACACCTGTAATTCCAACTACTTTGGAGGAAAGATAAAGAAAGTTCAAGGCCAGCCTGGGCAAATTAGCGAGACCCCATCTCAAAATAAAATATAAAAAGGGCTGGGGATATAACTCAGTTGAGGAACACCCCTGAGTTTAATCTCTAGTACCAACAACAACAACAACAAAAAAAGTGTAACTTTATGGTTATTTACATATTTACAAGAATAGAAGCTACTAGTAATCCATAAAATTTCCTTTTGTCCTATTCTGTACTTGGCCTAGAGGTAAGCACTCTTCTGACTTTTTATCATCATCTATTTATTTTCATTATTCTTGAACTTCATTTTAATGGCACTAAATCTCCATGTTCTCAGTAAACTGAGAATTCCAGATACTGGGATAGACTTGGGTCAGATTTTGGACTAGGAGTACTTTGTGGGCCATGCTGTGTGCTATATTTCCTGTTGCCTCCTATCCTCCTCCCCCTATCTCTCCCCCTCCCCAAAATCAATCAGTCAATCTCTCTCTCTCTCTCTCTCTCTCTCTCTCTCTCTCTCTCTCTCTCTCTCT